TTGATTGAGGTAAGTTTATTTTTTATATTTCAAAGAAAAATCAATGCTAATCGATAATCATAAAAAAATGAGAATTACAATAAAATTTATGAGAAAAGCAAAATTTGTTCTGGTGAGTGGAGTGAATCATTTTCTTGTTTTTTTGATAAGTTAATGAAAAAATGAAAATTTAAGCTTTTATTTTTAATTTAAGATATTTTTCGATCTTAAAAGTGTTGTGAGGTAGCTAACAGTCTAGCTTTAAAGTATTGAAAATGTTTGGTTACTTTCCGTTTATTGAAAAATGAGAAAAGGGTAGTATAGACTTCTTTTATGAGTCTTATAGCCAAGCATGAAATAACTTGCATGCTATGCTCTTTCTTTTTCTTCGCAATTTTTCATCAAATAAACTGACTTTTTTGTTCATAGAGACTTTTGCCAGTCGTCTCAATCATTTCTTTTTATTCTTTCTTCTTCATCTGATTTTTCCTCATTTTCAGTTATTATTTATTCAAAAGTTTGGGCTTGAAATGACCTGAATATAGTGTAAAGTACTGAATAAAAATTGGAAAGTAAATGATAACTTGAGTGCATTTTATTTGGTAAGTTTATATTATATAATTTTAAAATAGTTTTTGAAAAAAAATTATTCAATACAACAGTATTATGTACTCAAGATGGAAGATTAGAAATAATTGAAGGAGCACTTGAGAACAGGAAAGTAACAGAATAGTCTAATAATTATTATTTAGCCATTTTATAATTTATACCATTTTTCTAGTCAATAAAAATTTTCAAAATTGCATACAATTTTATTTGAGTAATTTTAGGATTAAATTTGGAAATGCATAAAATTTGAAAATGCAAAAGTCATTAGATGTTCAACATTTTTAATTGCCAGAAACTAATAAATGAAACCAATTTTTTCTATCATCAAAAAATTATATTTGAGTATAGTTTCTATTCTTGCAGAAAAATAACTTAATATAAATGATATTAAAAGTTTTTGGCATTCTCAAATGCAAATTTCATGATATTTAAAATTAAATTAAAAGTGTGTTCATGATTTGTTGCATGTTGTAAAGTGAGTCTGCAGAAAAATAAATACTGAATATAAAAATAAATATTGCTGAAGAAAATAGACATGAAGTAAATATGGAACAAACTTGTTGGCTTCACTACGTTATTCTTTAAATTCAAAAGAAATAACCAAAGCTTCTGAATCTTTCACCAAATTTGATTTATTTTTTAGTATTTGCTAAAAGTACATAATTATTAATAGCGATGGACAAGTAAAAAAAATTACTGTGTGGCAAAAAGATGAAAACGATTGTGCTTAAAAATAAGAAATATTGACCATATTGATGTGTGGTAAAAGTTATTATTTTTAAATGTTATTTTCAATTTATGCGTATTGTATTTGAATTGATTTTTTTTGGAAACAATAAAAAATTTTAATTTTTAAATGCTATATTTTTAACGTGTTTTATGATATATTGAAGTATAAAGTTTTATAAATTGAAAATAGTTAATTTTGATTATGAAAAGAATTTTTAATTTATGCATGCTAAATTTCAAATGTTTGCTTGTTTAAGTTGTGTTACAGTAAGAAGTTTTATTGAAGTAAAATGTTTCAAGTAAGTAAAGCAAATAGGAGTGACATTATTAAATTGTAATTCTTTTTTTTTTCTTATTTAGTTGCCAAAAGAAGCAAAATAAATGCATGGATTCATTGCAAAGCATACATAAAGTAAGTATTGTTCAACTATTTTGCATTTGTATTGAAGAAGAAAATGAATAAATTTTGAGCAATCTTTTTTCACTCTTAAATGCTATCATCCTCACTAACACTTATTGCTTAGTTATCTCATTTTTTTCTGTCTAATCTATGCTAATTTCAGTAGCAAGAAACAAATTTACTGCTTTTATTTTTATAAACTAATTTTGAGTAGCTTTCTAAAACTCTTTGATAATTTTATGGTTCTCAAAAATCTACCATATTATTGAAGATGATGCGAAAATTCACGAACTACTCATAAAAATAATCATAGCATTAAACACAGTAAAATAATTTTAAATTAACGAATAAAATTCTTTAATTTTAAGAAACTTTCAAATTAAAGAATTTTATTCTTTCTTTTTACTGACTCTCAAGTCAAATTAAATTAATAATATGACTTATATGCATGATTCCATATGAAAATGAAATGTTAATTATAAACGACATACCACATAGCTGTTATTGATATATGCATTCGAATTATAGAATCGTCGGTATAAAAATATGAAATGTACGTCATGCACATTACTCTTCTTATTTTAAGCATATTAATGAATTCAATTGATAAATGTCCTTATATTTTAAATCCACCATTTTCAAAATTTTGAGATGACTCAATAATTCATTAATTATTATTTGGTTAAAAGTTTTACGAGTCATCATATCATACCATGTCCGCTTCAATAAAACTTTATTGGTAAAGAGATTTTAATCTTAGTAATAGCTGGTTATTACTAAAACTTTTTCTCATATTACTGATTTAATCAAGAATTGAATAAATAAATTCCTAATTTTGATCTTATTATTTATTAGCTCTACAAAAAATATGTTTTAACTTTGTTGCCAATGTAAGAGTTTCACTTGCTTTTAGTTTAGGTAAGTAAAAAATTATGCAACAAGTAACTTCCTTATGCATTACTTTCCTCTTAATTTTTGATGTCTTATACTTCACGTAATTTATTCTTGATTCTTTTTTTTTTCGATTTCTCTCATATTGAAAAAACGATATTGAGAATGGAATCATCTTCTCCATTTATTTCTTTCAGTTATTTTTTACAAATTGCATTTCTAATTTTGCCTTAGCCATTTTTCTTTTTCCATCTAATTGCAAAATGCAAGTTTAGACTAAGTCTAACATTATTATTTTGCACATTGACTGCTTAGGATCTACAAATTCTTAAAATAGTGATCATTTCCAAGTAAGCTTAGAAAAATGGAGCAGTGAACAAATGAAAGCTTGCTGATGAACTTTTTTCACCTCATTTCTTTGTATACTTATGTTTTCATTGCTGTAAAAACTTTACTTATAGATCTTTAATTATTATGCGGTTTTTTTGCCAAGCAAACTTCGCGCCACATAACTGAGAAAGCAGAAAAAAAATGCTAATTAAACAAGCTAGCAACAATAGTTTGAATTTGCGTCTAACATTTTTGCCAGCATTACTAACCAATAAGTAAGTGTGTTTTCGATTGACGTAATTTCAGCTTTTTCTCACTTAAGTCAATTTTGTTTCAATGTAAAAATTGGATTTTGTGCTATCTGCGCTTTTACTATTATATTACAAATTGCATTCCTAATTTTGTCACAGTCATCTTGCTTTTTTGCATTAAGTTATACTGTTTGTGAATACTTCATTTATTCATTATAAGCAGTCCTTCCTTACTTTCCAATAAGTCTTAATTTGAAAGATCAAAATTAATTTTGCTACATTTCTTATCAATATTTTAAATGAATGCATGAATACTACTCATTTAAGTTTCATAGCATCACTCTTCATTTTATTCCAGACAATATTAATTTAATTCATCAAGAAAGAAAATGAAATAAATAAGCTTTCAGTACAATTTCATTCTAATCAAATGCATTCAATAAGCAATAGTTGTTTTAACAGGTTTTCAAAATTTTTTTTCTCATACTTTTGATTACATATCAAAAGCAAATTGATTAAAATCAACTGATACTTGAATAGTATTACTACAATTAAAGCGAGTAATTTTCTACTGCATTAAAATTTCTTTCTACGCACTTAATACACATTTTTTCGCATTCAAAAATTTGTCAAAACACAGCTTTTTGTATTGAATTTTTTCTACTAACTGCTCTTTTCAGAAAAAAAAACCATAGAAAATAACTAAAACTTTTTATTATTTTATATATAAAATTTAATAGATTAGCAAGAAATTTTTTTTAATTCTATAAAGGTTTGAGAAAATAATTGGTGTAAAGTTCAGAAAAAGCATTCTTTCTTATTTTGCTAATCACTAAACACCTATTTCATCTGCCGTGTATTTATTTCAATGTGATATTGCACTGCTTGCTTATCGTCTGTCCACGTTATACATACACACATACACTCACATTAATCGACATATACACACATGCACACATATACTTTCTATCAGTAAAAACTGGTGATGACAGATGGTATTTTGATTAAGTTGTTGAGTATTCATTTTGTCCTTTCCTATTTTCACATTTCTATTTAACAATTTTCCAATATTTTCTTTGTTTCTTTTATATTACTTTCTGCATCAAAAAATATTATTGATATTTAGTTCTTAACATGATAGTAAAGATGAAGTTTGTATGAGTAAATCGAAATATTGGAATATTTACCGAAATACATTCAAATCTAATTATCAAATCTATGTTAGATACATCTGACAATTAAATAGAATATGCTTCATTTGAATTAAAAAAACAAAATTGATTATGCTCATGCAAGCTTTTATCGTAAGTATGGATTATTTTTAGAACTTATCTGAAGTTATATTCTATAATAAAATTAATTTTTAACGCGCTGAACACTTTTTGTGCTCTAATTTGTTTCGAGTTGCAGCTATCATATCTGTAATTTGTATGTAGTAAGCAATATGTATGAATATATGAATAGATTTTTAATCAAAAAATGAATGGATTCTTAATTTAATCTTAAGCAAAAAACATGAAAACTTATTGACTAAGCAGTTTTTTAAATATTTTACATTGTTCTTTTACTTCATTTGAAATTAATTTTTTTGAGCAATATAAAAGTAATGATTACAATAATGCCCATATGACAACTGTTTATTTTTATCAACTGATAAAATTGTTGCAAATTCTGCTGATTATGATTAAACATTATTATTTTTTTGCGCCGAATTTTTTCAAACGGAATTGTTAATTCTAAATTAAATACATAATACATACAGTCAGTACAACTTACAATTGATGTTCAGAAAATAAACTTGGGTCAAAAACATGTCGTCTGTAAAGGTGGCTGTGAGGGTGCGCCCTTTCAATAGCCGTGAAATTTGTAACAATGCTAAAATGATTATTACGATGACTGGAAATACCACAAGTTAGTTATATTATTACTTTTCATAACTGATAAAATTTTAATTTCTGACGAAAAAAGTTAAAATAAAACCACATAAAAATGCAAATTAATCGAAGATTATGCGTCAATTTTTATCGCTGCAGTGAGCAATCATAAATACAGTGATCAAAAATTTGTTTAAAATAATTTGAAAAGTGTTAGAAGTTAGAAAGTATCGAAGTAAAAAATCGAAATATTAAAGATAATGATTTTTCGTCATATATTAAACCATTGAAATATATCGAACGCTTTTCTTTAGCTATAATTGGTGGTAGTGGTTCTGAACGAACTCATAGCTTCAATTTTGATTATTCATATTGGTCATTCAATAAGGATGATAAATATTTTGCAAGTCAACAGCAAGTGTATCAAGATTTAGGCGTTGAAATGCTTGATCATGCATTTGAAGGGTAAATTAATATTTCTCAATAAATCCTAGTTGTGTCATGACCTTTTTGATATTACAACTTTAATGATGTCTGTTTTAGGATAATTTTTATAGCAAGAAGAAAAAAACCAAACTTTGCAGATACAACGTTTGTATATTTGCATATGGACAAACAGGTAGTGGTAAAAGTTACACGATGATGGGTAAACCTAATGACGAAGCTGAAATGGGTATCATACCACGCTTATGTAATCATTTATTTCAAAAAATTCACGATAATTTGGATTCAAATCTCAAGTATTCTGTTGAGGTTTGCTAATTTTTATGAAATTCTTAATTAAGTTTCAGTGAAATTTACTTTATTTGATACATTTGTTAAACTAAAATCAATACGCTACACATACTTTCAAATATTATAGAACATTACTACAAAAATTTAGGTATCTTATATGGAAATTTACTGTGAGCGAGTTCGAGATTTGTTGAATCCATCAAGTGGTGGGAATCTTCGTGTTCGAGAGCATCCTCTTCTTGGGCCATATGTTGATGATCTTACCAAATTAGCAGTGTGCTCTTATCAAGATATCTGTGATTTAATGGATGAAGGTAACAAAGCAAGGTATAATTTTTTTAGTTGCATATTTTTGACTTTGCATCAAGAATTTGTTCAAATGGGTTTCAGCTTTTTACTTTGTTAGAGAAACGTCACCTTAAGATATAATTCAATCAATGCAACTTAATCATGTGGGATTTTCAATAGAAGTATTTTATACAATTCTTAAAATGTGGCTGGTTTATCTTATTTTGCAGAACTGTTGCTGCCACAAATATGAATTCAACTTCAAGTCGTTCACATGCAGTTTTTACAATTGTACTAACACAGAAAAGGCATGATCCGGATACGGACCTAGATTGTGAAAAGGTTCGACATGTTTATTTGAGTAAAATTCCTGGAACTTTGTGTTAGATAAGCTCAACTCTCATTTTCACTCTTACACTCTTAAAAGTTTTTGCTTGATTTTCTTTTGTTAACTCTTTCGACTATTAAAAAAATAAAAATTTTTTTGTAGTACTTATAGAAGAATACAACGATATTTTGATGAAGAAAAAACCTGACGACTATAAGTTTTGAATATAGCATGTATTTTTCACTGCATTTTTTTATTTTATTAAGAAAAGAGGGTTTATAAATATTTTAGACATCATTTTGGTTTTTTTAACAGAAAATTTAAATTCTTAGGTGAGCAAAATTTCACTGGTGGATTTAGCCGGAAGTGAACGAGCTACTTCAACAGGCGCAGAAGGTCAACGTCTAAAAGAAGGTGCAAATATTAACAAAAGTTTGACAACACTTGGACTCGTGATTTCAAAATTAGCAGAAGAAGTTAGTTTATAGTTTTTTATTAGGAATAAATAATTCTAACAGCTCCCTTCGCACTTTTATCAGCTGATATCACAAATATGCGAATTAATTTTTAAAAACTGACGAAAAATTCTAATTTAAAATTTATTTCAGGCAAGTAAGAAAAAAGGTAGAGGCAAATCAGTAATACCATATCGAGATTCAGTTCTAACTTGGCTTTTACGTGAAAATCTTGGTGGTAATTCTAAAACTGCTATGATAGCTGCTTTATCACCTGCAGATATCAATTTCGATGAAACATTAAGTACTCTCAGGTTACCAATGCAAATTTTTGTAATGTATAAGCATCCTTACAGTGAACTAAATTGAAATGGATGATTTACAAATTATACTGATAATTGCACTTGCCTTTAATTGGAAATATTTCAACTTTTGATTAATAAATACTGTAATATACATATTTATTCAACATATTAAGTACATAATGTTTATAATTGTTGTTCTCCTTTATCCAAAAACTAACTTTTAATTTCAAAACGTTATTCATTTTCATTTTAAGTCATTCAAACTTTTTGCATTTTTTCAGCCATAAAGTTTAATTAACTGATAAAAGTTTAGGTATGCAGATCGAGCTAAGCAAATTGTATGCCAGGCTAAGGTTAATGAAGATCCAAATGCAAAACTAATTCGTGAATTGAAAGAGGAAGTATTGAAGTTGCGCAGCTTACTTGAAATGAAGGGCATTGATAGTGATAATCCACATAATGAAAAAGCTGTTTTCTCAGCTCGAGATCATGACACAATTGAACAGCTTAAAGGTTGTTTATTAGTCATTTTAAAGGCTATTTTTAATCCAGATTATTTTTTTTCAACTGCATCACTGCAAAATTTATAAAATTTTTCATTGTGGTGACTTCAGCAGTTAATATTTCAAGAGCAGATTTAAATTCATTTCTTATGGTTTTATGAGTGCATATAATACTGCAAATAAAAATTTTGAATCATAACAAATTTTTAAATGATTACTCTATCAAATTTTTTTTACTCCAGTGAAGAAAATTATTTTAGTTTGATTTAATTACTTACAGCATCTGAAAAGCTTATTGCGGAACTTAATGAAACTTGGGAGGAAAAATTACGCAAAACAGAAGAAATTCGTAAACAGCGTGAGGATGAACTTCGTGAAATGGGTTTGGCTACTGGAGCAGATGGTAGTACTCTCGGAGTTTTCTCCCCTAAAAAAGTATGTAATATTTGCAGTTATTTATGCATATCACGATTATTACAACTTTAAAAAGTAACAATTATATACGTACAAGACTAATTTTTCTTATCGTACTCGCTTCTTACAGTTACCACATTTGGTGAATTTAAATGAAGATCCACTTATGTCGGAATGTTTGCTTTACTATCTTAAAGAAGGAATAACAAGGTAATTGCTAAATTTAATAGAACTTTTCATCCCATTTTTTGTATTCGTTTAAGTTAATTTCTCTTTGTAAAAAAATTCTTTAATAAATTTTATGATGTAAAATTTAAGAAGTTTGACTGAAATGCACTATTTAGTTGTTATATTTTGTAATTTTTCTGATGAATGTAAATTTCTGGAAAAATTTGCAAAAAGTTTCATTCACACCAAATATAAAGTGATTAGAGTAATGTTGAATTTTGTATTAATAATAAATATTTTTGAGCTCAATTACAAGGATTGTTACAGAGTTGGACGACCAGCGGCGTCCCACCGGCCGGATATACTTCTTAGTGGTCAGTTGATTCTCGATGAACACTGTCGCTTCCTAAACGAAGATGGAGTTGTACACTTGGTACCTGAGCCTGGTGCTCAATGTTTTGTTAACGGCAAGCCAGTTACTTCATCAGAAGTTTTACATACTGGTTCTCGGGTCATACTTGGCAAGTATCATGTGTTTCGATATAATGATCCACTTGAGGCTCGTCAAAGTCGTCAGAATTTAACAAATTTGATGCCTAGTACGTTTTCATTGCAGTTTATAAAAATATATAGTTCCCAAGGATATATTATATATTTTTATATACATCTAAGATATATGCAAACTCTTGAGTGCTAGCAATTATGTGAATAAGTTTTCTTTTATTTCCCATTTAAATCTGTGTTTTTTTCCGAAATGACTTCATTTTTCGAAGGACCAAAATATTTCATTATTCAGAAAGCAAGTTTAATTTTTACAGTAAGCAACACAATAATGCAGATGTATGAACATCCAATTTTAGAATCGTAATTATTCATTCTGCTGTATTAAATTTCGCAAAGTGTTGTAGAACAACAATCATCCTTATGGATAATAATTGGTCCAATAATTTGTATTTGAATTAGATTCAATTCTTTTTAGTTTAAAATTTGGTGTAATGTCTTCTGATTTAAAAAAAAACTACAATTAATAATGATTATAATGCAGCTGCGAGTGGATTTCTTTGGTTTTATTGGAAATAAGTAATTAAAATAATTGATTAAGATGAACCATTGGATTGGAAATATGCTCAACAAGAATTACTTGCTAAGCAAGGCATTGATCTGAAAGAGGAAATGGAGAAGAAAATGCTCGAATTGGAACTGCAGTATCGTCGAGAACGTGAAGAATTAGAAGTGAAAATGATAAGGCAGACAAAAGTAATTATAATAACAATAATATTAATTATTATTATATTTATAATAAACAGTGATAACGACAATAGTAATGTTTGAAATTTATACAAAAACTGAAAAATAATAATTCTTTATGAGCTGAAAAAAATTAAATTAGTGTTGACATAAACAAATAATAAATTATGCAACTTTATTTAAATGTCAAGTCCTAAAATTTGTTGTTTACTTTTATACTTAGGTTTGATTGTAATGTTAATTGAGCCTAAGAATTAAGGAATATGAAATGCGTATTGAGACGCTACAAAGACAAGTTGATCTGGCGCAAAGTATGATTTCCTCAACGTGTTCTACGTGGGATGGCGAACGTTTTCTTACGAGCAGTTTAATTAATTTTGGTGAAAAAGTTTGAAACTAATTTGCACTATCATTTTCAATTAGAACTTTAATAACATCAAATTTGTAACTATTTTTAAAAAAAATCTAAACTTACAAAATCAGAAAAGTATTGGAATAAAACTAATTAGTTTTTGTGTCTTGAAAAAATAGAAAATGAGTTGTTAAAAATCATTATGAAGTGTAGTGCAATGCTATATTTTATTGAGTATTGGGACAGAAAAGTTGAAAATTATATTATTGATGTGAAAATATATCATAAATTATTCTTGTTGCCATTGTATTCAATTCGATGAATATTGAATACAACTGGCGACGTCAACTAATTCTTTAGAGTTTCAATTTTGATAAGTACTGATTTGATAAATAATTCGAAATTAATTGTAGTAAATGAACCAGAATGTAAGTGGACCGCAGCGGAAGAACGAATCGCTCGTCGCACAGCGACTAAATGGCGATATCATCAATTTACGTCAGTTCGAGATGACTTGTGGGGAAACGCGATTTTCCTCAAAGAAGCCAATGCTATTTCTGTTGAGCTGAAAAAAAAAGTCACAACTTTAAATAATTTAAACAAATTAAAACACCTTTTTCATAATAAAAAATTAATTTATTTATATTTGACAAAATTCAAATAATATTTATTGTACTGAAAATATGATATTTCCTTGGTGATGAATTTTGAAGTTTTCATGCTAATTAGTAACATAACACAAAATTAACATAGCTGATATAATAAGGCTAGACATTTTTTAAAAGTCGTTCCTAATTTTAGGTTCAGTTTCAATTTGTTTTATTAACTGACACCATGTACAGTCCGTTACCACCGGATTTACTACCAGCTGGTGAAGATTTAACTATGAGACCATATCCAAAAACTGTTGTTGCAGTGCAAGTGCAGGATTTAAAAAATAGTGCAGTGCATTATTGGAGCCTCGAAAAATTAAAGTATTATTTTTAAAATTTATAACCAGTATATTGAAATTGTGTGAATTACGTGATCATCAACATTGCACTGCATACATTTGGTGAATATGGCTAATAATTGGTGGAATGAACGAATCGGTGTAATTACTTATGCAAATTATTTAACTAAATTTTTTGATGCAATAAACGAATGATCATTCTTCACCTCATGTACTCTCTCATCCCATTTCTCATTTTTTTGTTTGTTACCTTAAAAGGTTCTTATGAAGTACTGAATAATCAAATAATTACATAAAGTTTCACGTCTATCATTTCTTTTATAGTACCTTTAATAAGGATTGATTTTTATCAGGTTACAACTTCAATAAATCAGATTCCCCTATACATTTGAAAGTTCTAAATTCATCCAAATGCATAAGATTAATCTAATTTACGAAATACAAATTTCCAAACTTCCAATTGAAAGTTTATTTTTAACTTTCATTATTACAGTTTTTTTTAACATTTTATGATTGATTTACGCTGCTGTATTTCAGAAAACTCTACTACTTTGTTTACTCAGGCAAAATGAAGATTGTCATTTTACTGACTAAAATGAACAAAGCGTAGAATTTTTTATTTATTAACATGGTACAAGTATAACTTTATCAGTTTCAAGCAAATGCAATGAATGCTTAAAGTTATCTCGTAAATCAAAAGTTTTTTCACTTCAGAGAAATAAGTTGTAAATTTATGATCTGTAAGAGTACTACTGTGGCAATTATAAGTCTCCTGTTTTATTTTTAACGCTATAATACTAAACAACCACGATACTCATCAAATAAAAAATGCTGAATTTTTTATTCAGTCTAAATTTTGCTTGATTTTTAACTTACTACTTTGAAGCTTCGTAAATTCAGCTTATTAGTAATTTTGTACTATTCGTTTATTTATTTATTTTCTTTAATACTAGTAGGCAAAGTCTAATCTATTCTCTTGTAAAAAAATAAATAGACTAAATGCTAATTTAAAAATTAGCAAAATATGTCGTTATAATTTCATCCTATACCTTTATAATAATCAAAATTTGGCTCTTTCATACAATTCATATCTGTCTACAAATTGTTTCAAGACATTATTCACTTTTATCAATTTCATATTTGTAATAAGTACAAAAATTAGTCTTAGATTATTCCACAATTAAGATTATTGCACTCTTACACTATAATAGATTGACTACTAGTTATGTAGACTCTTGTCCTCAGGTACTTAACTTCGGAATAACTATAAATGTTAAGTGACAAATTTTTGGGAAATGCATGAATGAATTTAACAGAGTATATTGAAATTTTTTGAAATGGTTTGCAGAATGAGATTGGAAAGTATGCGGTGTTCTTATAACGCCGATCTGAGCGATTACTCCATGCACATCCCAGATACCCCAGAAGAGATTCAGTATCGGTGTTGGCTAGGTGCTATGCATCTCAATCCTGCAAGACTTGTTCCTGACAGGTGCTTACACCTATCCAATATCATCATATATACTCATATTTTTCACTCTTGCATATCTCTTAATTATTCCCTCCATTATCAACCATCAAACTCGTAAATGTGTGTGAACATTTGACAAACTTTTTAATACATTTTAAAATTCTTGAGATTAACAATCTATTATAAACGATGCTTAACGTTAATCATAATTAAAATTATACTTTCTCTTCTTTGTATAATTAAATTATACATATATGTTCTTTTCTGTAATTTTTACCGACTTAATTTGGTAGTATTGAGCAATTCATCTAATTCATTTTCGAAACTT